TCGAGCATACTTAAATAACAGATTTCGCAATAAGTGGATTGGCCGAGGAGGGCCACCTCGTTCACCAGATTTAAATCCGTTAGATTTTTGGTTTTGGGGACATTTAAAACAAATTGTTTATTCTGAAGACGTTCAAAATGTGCAGGATTTGAAGAATAAAATTAGTAACGCATTTGACACAGTAAAACAAATTCCTGGTATCTTTGAACGCATTAGAAGTTCATTTAGAAAACGTATCCGTTTGTGTTTAGAAGTAAATGGTGCGCATATTGAACATTTATTATGACATGAATCTTTTCCAATTTGTTAAATATTCGTTGTTTTTATGCTGGTCGAACGATTTTCTTCGACAATCTTTGTTACTTGTTTTGTTAAATTATTAATGAACTGTATTAATTAACTTAATATTATCTTATTATTTATTAAACTTTATCTTAACCATCGTAACCATGGTAATCATATAATTACTGCATCTAAATCGTTAGAATTAATAATGTTTACAATAGGTCAACTTATGAAACTAAAACTTTGAATATCTCGAAATTGGTCCATTTTTGGACCTATGTTTATTAGACTTTTCTTGTCTGTTTTCGATCAGAGAATACGCTGATGCAGTATTGTACAATCGTTGCGGGACACCTGTATATTACAGAACGTTCAACAATGATTGTAAGATGTTTGGATTTCCCGCTTTTGCGTTTAATTTTTAAGGCTGGTATGAGAAAACTAACAAGCATAGGTGTATCATAGGAAAAATTTCGAAGGCATTAAAAAATTTATGTTTAAAATGTATCAATGTGTAGCTTTATTAACAAAATTTAAAAATGTGTATGAAATCAATTGATATTTATTCACATTTTGTTATAATAAATGTTGAAACTTCTTAACTGGAAAGCAATTAAAACATAAACTGGCACCAACGTTGCTTAGCAAGTATTACTAAAAGTCAAGTGCGCCAAATTCAAACACCTTACAATAATTGTTGAACGCTCTGTATATATAATTATTTTGTATTTTTCTGTTGTATTTGTCCATTTCATTTTACCTTTACCATTCACGCATATACTATGTAATATATTGAAAAAATACGCGCGAAGGTAAAATGAAATAAATACATATTATAAATAGATACAAAATAATTATATATAATACATGTATATACAGGTGTATCTGAATGACTACAACAAACTTCAAGGGGTGATTCTTTAGTGAATTTTAAGGGTACTTTAATACAGGGAGCTACACCCCTCCAAAAATGGCGGAAAATTTTGGTTAAATTTGCTTTTCTCAAAAACCATAAACGCTAGGAAAATGAAATTTGAAACTCAACGTCAAGCGGGTGCCGGGTGAGAGGCCAACCCATACCTGTTCGGGTAAAAATGAGAAAAAAATTCCATGTCTCTTAGTTAAGTGGTAATAGACATAT